CTCAGACAGTAACTGTGTGACCCTGGGCAAGACACTCTAACCTCAGTCTGCCTCAGTTTCCTCAACTGTAAAATGGGCTCCTACCTCCCAGAGAGGTTGTGAGAATCAAATGAGATAATATTTGTAAAGCACTTAGCACAGTGCCTAACACTTAGTAGGTGCTTAATAAAAGCCTGTTTCTTACCCCTACCCCCCTCCTTATTTCTTTTAATGCCGGTGCCTTTCCTCTGAGGTTACTGCCAATTTATCCTGCTTATATCTTGCCTGTACATTCGCTTGCATGTTGTTTCACTCATTAGAATGTGAGCTTTTTGAGGTCTGAGACTCCCTGTGGGGGGGAGGCCCTCCCCTTTTATATCTCCTATGCTTAGCATAGAAGGTGCTTCAGCCAGTGGTTGGCTTGGCGTGACTCACTGGAGACTGAAATGAAAGTAGCAACCTTCCATGAGATAGTCATAATATTTGCATATTCCTCAAGAAATAAGAAACATGAACAAGGTTCACCTTGAACTAAAATGTGGCTAGCAAGAGAGAGAGAATCTGGCATTCTTTGCTAATTTATCCTTTTCCTCATTCCCCTCAGAAACAACTTCAAGCCTTCTCTTCCCTCCTTAAGCTTCCCATTCCTCCTCCTCCTTCTCTTCCTCCTCCTCCTCCTTCTCCTCTTCCTTCTCCTCCTCCTCCTTCTCCTCCTCTTCCTCCTCTTCCTCCTCTTCCTCTTCCTCCTCTTTCTCCTCCTTCTCTTCGTCCTCCTCCTCCTTCTTCTCCTCTTCCTCCTCCTTCTCCTCCTCTTCCTTCTCCTCCTCCTCCTTCTCTTCCTCTTTCTCCTCCTCCTCTTCCTCTTCCTCCTCTTCCTCCTCCTCCTTCTCCTCCTCCTTCTCCTCCTCTTTCTCCTCCTCCTCTTCCTCTTCCTCCTCTTCCTCTTCCTCCTCTTCCTCCTCCTCCTCTTCCTCCTCCTCCTCTTCCTCTTCCTCCTCTTCCTCTTCCTCCTCTTCCTTCTCCCTCTTCCCCTCCCAATCTCTCAGTCGGGGACCTGGCCTCCTACTTAGGCTATTCTTCCTGAGTTCTTTCTCCATTCCCTTCATCTCAAACCCCTTTGACATCACCTCCCACTCTCTCCTCTGCTCGGCTCTCAGACAAAGAGGTAGGCCTTCTCCTGGTCTCCATCTACTCTTGGTCTCATCCCCTCCTGTCTTCCCCAGAAGATTTCTGTTCCCTCTCCCTCATCATTGCTAATTCTGCACTCTAGGCCTAAGCAAAGCAAGTGCTTGGAGACGACTATCATGGCTGCCTGCCTATTTTCTTCTCTCTTCCAGGAAACATCCTCAATTTCCTTCCACTAGTAATTATGGTGTGTTTTCTAGTCTCCTCTCCATCCTGGTTCCCCTCCTGTAGATACATCCCCATTTGTCAAGCTAAAATATGTCCTATCAAGGGCTAAAACACGCCTCTTGAAGGATCGTGGTCTCCCTCAAGTCCCTTTTTGTCACCCACAATTGAGTTAGCCCTTCCTGTGGCTGTGTTTTCACATGAATCCATCCCCAAGTCACAGTCAGTATCTTTGGAACAGCAGAATCCTTAGCAATCCAGCACTGAAATTAGGACTGGTGGAGAAGGCATGATTTCTTTTCACAGGGCAGTCCTAGCCCTTGCAAAAAGAAGTCATTCCTAGAATTTTCAGTTGGACTACCCATCTCCCTGTGGGAACCTCCCATTTTCAGACCCCAAGAACTTGTCTTGGAAACTGGGCAGAGCTTGTTTCCTATCTTGGGGCTCAGGTCCCAGAGAAGTGACTGTGGGGGGCATTTGTGTACTCCCCCCCCACCATAGGATGGAATACTCAGAGTCTTCTGAAGAATGGAGCTAAGGGGATCCCAACTAAGGACACAGCCGGGAAAGATGGCACATAGTGAATACTCAGGCCGGGACAGTCTTGATCCTGATACATACAGTCCACTGAGCTTATTGGTCTAACCCTGCCTAGAAAAACCACATTTTCTCTACCTCTGACAATGAGAACAGTAACTGCAATCCCTAACTCTACAAAGCACTTTGAGTTTTTCCAAAGTGATTTGCATATATTATCCCATTGGGTCCTCCTAATCACCTTGAGCAGGAAACTGAGGGTGAGAAAGGTTAAGTGACTTTCACAAGGTCACTCATCTGAGGCAGATTTGGAACTCAGTTCTATCCCCAGTCTGAGTCCAGATCTTTCTCCCTAAGCCACCCAGCTGGTCTTCGGGGAGAGAGAAACCAGGAAGGAAATCTTGCTATTGGTAAGAAGGCCACACTTCCATATTTCCATGACAACAATGGGCACCAGAGAAAATGAAGGAGGACGCTATGAAGGCAGCATTGGTTAGAGCAAGCTCACCAGCCCTGGAGCTGGGAAAACTGGTTTCAGCTCTTGCTCGGACCCTGATAAGCAGGAGGGCCTTTGGGCAAGTTCCTTTAGCCTTTGGAGATCCAATTTCCTCCTGGACAATCATGCTTGTGCATGGCTCTGTGTGAGGAGCCCATAGTACCTCAGAAATGGAAGCTTTTCTTAAGATTCCTGCGGTGAAACCATCAACCTGGCTAGAGAGACTGGAAATAGCTAGAGATGGGAGTGCCTGTGGGGAATGGGTCTAGGGGAAGAAGAAACTTACAGCATGTGTTCAGGAAGAATTGTCCGCATTCTGATCCCCTCCAAGGCACAAAGTTCAAATGGCACCAGAAAAGAAGGTTCGAAAGTATTTGCTTCTCACAAGTTGGTGTTGGAATGATAGCTTTACATAATGCATTCATTAAGCGCTTGTTGTGTGCCTTGCACTGTGATAAGCACTGAGAATACAAAGAGAAATCCAAAGAGAGAGTCTGCCTTAAACGAGTTTATATTCTAATGGATTAGAGTCGCTATTCCTTCAAAAATTAACACCTGATGTCCCTCCTGGGTGACTCAACATACTTAACTAGGAATGGAAAAAGAAACAAAGCATAATGGTAAAAGAAATAAAACTTAGAATGGTCCTTGTTTCCTTCGGAAGTCAAGAGGCTGATGGACATTTCAGGGAGATTGCCATTAATAGTAAAAGTGCCCAGTGGAGACCTAATTCCATCAAAACTTCTGACCAAGTCATTTGATAGGTGTAGGCTACAGGTGTAGACATTATCTCATCAAAAACTCTAATTTTTTGCAGATAAGATCTGAGTTAATAAAGGGGATTTCTGAAAGACAGAGCCCAGAATTCAGATCCAGGTAGGTCTTCTAACTTTAAATCCAAAAGTTTTTTTCCCCCTATTTTGTTATGTTGCCTTTGTGAATAAGATGCTCTTCACATAGACAAGATAGAGAGATAAGGAGGAAGATGGCAGGTGATGATTCAGCTAGGTAGAAGTGACCTGGCTGACTGGCCAGAACCAAAGAGAAATCATTAACAGATGGCTATGAAATTGAAAGGAGGTCTCTAGGGGAGTGCCCCAGGGCTTTGTTCTCAGTCCTGTGATCCTTAACATTTTTCTCATTTACTTGACTGAACGCCCCAGGTGGCATGATTATCAGATTTTCACAAAGGCCACAGTGGGGAGCAATGCCTCCATGATTAGACCTAGGTAGATTGGAACATCTAATAAGATAGAATTTGATAGGAGTAAACGTAACATCTCACAATTGAGTTGGAAAATCAACCTTACCATTTGAAGGACGGTAGGGGTGACCAGATAGCAGTTCAAGAAAGATGTGGAGGTTTTAATGGAGGTTTTAATGTCATTCAGTAGAGCACTATGGCCATCAACCAAGTTAATTTCATGTTAAGCTACATTGAAAGAGGAATGGAATATATGATTGGGTTGGTAGAATATAAACTCTGTGAAGGCAGAAGCCATTTCAATTTGTGTTTGAATTGGAAGCGTATGATACAATGTCTATGTGTAAGTCAGTTAATAAATGTTGAATTGAACTGGGAAACCCTCAGCACTCTGCTCTGGTAAAGACCCACAGGGAATATGGCAGTCAGCTCTGGCCACCAGATCTTTAGAAGTTCATTGATGAGCTGGAGAGTGTCCAGTTGGAGGTGAACCACCTCAAAGTCATGGGCTATGTGGGGATTCATTGGAGGAATGAGGAACCTTAAACCTGGAAAACAGAAGACACAGGGATCTAAGATAACTGTTTCTAATTACTGGAAGGCCTGCCATGTGGCTGAGGGATTAAATGTGTTCAGTTTATCCCCAGACAATCAAGAGAAATGGGAGAAAGTCACAGAGGCTGATTTTGACTTGATTTCAGGGAAAGTGCTCTAATATTCAGAGCTGTCTTAAAGTAGAATAGGCTGCCTTGGGAGGGGGAGGTGATGAGATCCTCTTCCTCGGAAGTCCCCAAACAAAAGCTCAGTGTTCCCTCGTTGGGATATTTTAAAAGGAAATATGGATTGAGCATGGATTGGATTGGATACCAGTCTAGGTGGTGCCATGGTGCATATAGTACTGGGCCTACAGTCATGAAGACCTGGATTCAGATCTAGCCTCATGCACTTACTAGCTGTGTGACCCTGGGAAAGTCACTTACCTTCTGTTTGCTTCCCTTTCCTTATCTGTAAAATGCGAATGATAATAATAATAACACCCCCCAGGTTGTGAGGATGAAATGAGAAAATATTTGCCTGGCACATAGTAGTGCTATATAAATTGCTAGTTATCACTCTTATTTTTAGATATATTCTGTGGTCCTTTCCAGCTCTGTAATTTCACAGTAAAAAATGCAGGGTCCTTACCAAACATGCCTCAGAATATCACTTTAAAACCAGGATGAAAGAATGCTCAATGCACCAACATGTGTACTACAGCCCAAACCAACAGAAAACCTTGAAGCTTGCAAATCAACCAAGCAGACAGCTATTTGCAAACTCTGAACATCTTCTCTGGTATATCTTACATCCAAGCAGAGTAATAAGCCAGCTCACATTGGGAAGGTTTTCAAGGCCCATGACTAAAGAATAACCTTGTCCATGCATGGGTCTTACCTTTTTTTCTCGAAGAATGACTTGCCCACCACACAGTTCCCCAGTGGTCATGGGAGGTGTTCCATGTTCCAAGGACACGCCCTCTCTGGAGCCAGAATCTGGGGTATGTTTGTTTTGAGGGACACTGTGGGAGTGTATGACTCCACTTTTGTCCAGAGGGTGGAAACAACAGGGAGGATCCCCAAAGCAGCTTTCGGAGTCTTCTGATTGTGGTTGCACTCTCCCAGCACAGTGAGAGGCAGAGGACCCATCCTGTAGAGCCTCACCAGCATGCCTCTCATTCCTGTCTTTGATGGTGTCAGCATATTTTCTCCGTTGCTGTGCAATCACAGCAGAATGGAGCAGCTGTTTCTCAGGCAGAATTTCATTTGCACTCAGAGTCTTTGAGAGATCTGCTTTGGAAGCCTCTCTGACTTGACTTACTGTGAAGTGGCTGCCAAGTTCCTGGTTGTCTCCATTAAGGTCCCAGTCTTCTTCCTTTCTACTCTCCTCCATAAGAACAGATTCATGATCAGGTTCACTGGCTTTCCCCAAGGACCCCAAAGAGATTGGTGACCCCTGATCCTCCTCAGTGCCTGGTAGCATCTTCACAAAGGTACCTGTCCCATTCAGTCTCCACTGACCTGCTGTTTCCCTGTCTCCGCTTGTCCAGTGGTTCACAGCACCCAGTTTTGTCTCTGCATCACCGTCCTCGTCAGAGATGTGGACCAGAGTTTCTGTGCTGGCCTCCAGGGAAAGGAGGCCCTCCTCCCCATCATAAGTGTCATTCCCATCCAGTTCCCTTGAAACATTTCCCAGGAGCTGCTCAGGGCAGCTGGACAGCTCTGAGGCCTGGCAGCAATCTGGCAGGGACGCCCACTTCTGGTGGTGGCCCCCAGTCAGGGCACCTTCCTTTTCCATGCTCTTGGGCAAGCTGTCAGCTACCAGCCCATGGTGACATGTTGGGGTTGGAGCATCCGGATGAAGGAGCAATCCCATCCGCTGGGTGACATGCTCTTCCCAGCTCCGCTTCCTGACTGCCACAGACATGTCCCTGCAGTCCAACAGGGGACCCTGATATTTCTAATCCAAGGGGCACCCAAGGAGGTGTGGTTAGGTCTTCTAAGGCATCAGAAGAGGAGAAGAGTTCTCATCACTTCCACATCTGTAAGAAAGACAGAAGACTTAAGGCCAGATGCCCATCCAAGGGTCAACTACATCTCAAAGTTTGGGAACAATTAAACAGGGCTATGAATATTAGAGAGAGAGAGATGCTTAAAAAAACCAAAACCAAACCACAACATTTCAAATGAGAGGCAGTGTGGCTCCATGGATATAGAGCCTGAAAGATCTGGGTTCAAATCCCACCATCTGATACCCACAGACTGTGTAGCTCTCAGGAAGTCACCCAATCCCTCCATACTCTATGCATCACACAGTAAAGATGCCCGCCTACACTGGTAGAGAGAATTTCCTGACTTCATGGAGTCAGGGAGAGAGAAGAGGGTAGAAGTGGGTGGACCTGGGGCACAGCCACCCACAGCCAGGGGATGTGATAGAGATGATGATTCGGCAAAGGACGCTAAGAAGATGTAGTCATTGCTGTATGAGGAAAGCCCAGAGAGAGAGCAGCGAGTGGTAAGAAAATATTACTGAGAAGATGGTGATCGTCAGCATCAAATGGAGCAGAGTGGGGGAAGGATTAGAATGAAGGAAGAGATGGTCATAACAGGCTATTAGAACCCTCATTCTGAGGTTTGTTTTTGTGAGGTATTTGGGGTTAAGTCACTTGCCTAGAGCCACACAGGTAGTGAGTGTTATGTGTCTGAGGCCAGATTTGAAGTCAGGTCTTCCTGACTCCAGGGCTGGTGCTGCACCACCTAGATGCCCCCTGAGGTTTGGAGAGAGCAGTATCTGTTGCCTTCTAAGGACAGAAGTCAGACTGAAGAAGTTAAGAAAAACTGGGAGGAGACGGAGGAGACAATGTGTATAAGAGCTTTTGGTTTTCCTAGGAGTTTGGCGGAGAAAGAAATGAGCTACAGAAAACACTATTTTGAAGAGATAGGAGAAACTATGGAGGCTTGCTTAAAAATAGAGGAGACAGGCGTGTTTGTAGGGAGTAGGGAAAAAATGAGTAGATAGGGAAAGACTGATAATTAGAGAGGAAAAGGGGCTAATTGTAGTGGTGATCTGCTGGAGAACTCGAGAGAGATTAGGCTTAGGGGCCCCTGTGGGGAGATCAGTGCTAGCAAGGAGAAAGGTCACCTCTTCCTAAGCAGGAATAAATAGTGAGAAAGGAGGAGGTGACTGACGTCAAAGTGTTGTATGAGGTCAAGAAGGGGAAGAGGGAAGTCGGGGTAAATGGTCTCTATTTTCTCAGTAGAAGAGGAGGTTTGGGGCAGCCACTAGTGGTGGACTGTGGTGTGGAGTGAGGTGTTGTGGGACATGGCCAATGTTTCAGTTTGCTTTGCCTAATCGTACTTTTTCGCGATAAGGACCAGTTCTGTTGAGAAACAGAGAGGCAGAGGCAGAGACAGAGGTGGTAGCAAAAACAAATCAATAACACATTTTTTAAAAAATCAAGACTTTCTCATAACAATAAATTTCACTCTCTCAGGGGCCAAATTCATTCTTAGAGCTCTGATTATGGGCAGGGAGGGAAAGGCCTTTTATTTTGACCACTCCAACACCAGCCAGGGTGTGCGTGTGTGTGTGTGGACTACCTAAGACAGAACACTGACTCTTCATGACCGTGATGTATGCCCAGGCACCAAGAGTTAGCCCGGAACAACTTCCTTCTCTAGAAAAGTTGACAAGGGGTCTTTTTGACCGCAACCTGGTAATGTGTTGATGTAGCTACTCTTTTGGTTGGCATTATTATGCCCATTACACAGATGTGGAAATGAAGCTCCATGAGTGAAGGGGTCCCCAATCACAGGGCTTCTGGAAAGAAGCATGGTTGAAGATCTGGGAAGTGTGAGAATGGAAGGTGTAACTGGGGGTCCTTGAGGAGTCCCTCTCTGGGCCTCAGTTTCCACATTTGTCCTATGAGAAGGTTAGACGGGATAACGGTCCCTTCTAGTTCTCCATCCTGTGATTTCATGGCTAAGACTCTCAACCTTGATTTTGCAAGTCTCCTGCCCACTAAGGCCTTGTTTTCTTCCAGGGAGTGGCTATGTCACAGTGGGGGTGGGGGTGGTGGTAAGTCTTACTTAATGATGCTTTGATATCTCTTGGAGATATGAGATAGACCCCCTCTACCCTAGCAGTGGCTGTGCAGCTATGAATCTGTCATTTCTGCTTTGTGATTCTCAGTTTTCTTCTCTGGAGGATGGACATCAGACAGGCAATCCTTGAGACTCTCAAGCGGGTGGTGCTCACAGACTTACTGTGAATACAGGTGGTTATTCTTTGTTCCTTACCTAAAACCCCCAAATGCACTAGGCAGGGAAGGAGGAGGCAGAGACCTTCTCTAACAGGATGGCTTCTCTGGCCCTGGGGCTTCTGGGAATCACTGCCCAGATCTTTCTGGCCTGCCAAGGTGACCAGGCCAGGGGACAAAGATAGACCTGCACAGCATTTTTTTCCCCTCTAAGAGGGCTTTTTCCAAGAGGCCCCAACAGTTAGATGCTGAGATGGTGTGAGCAGCCCCTGGCCTCACACCTGGCCTCCTCAGTCCCCATTGGCCCCACCTGGGCTTCCCACTGGGACTCAGACCTGAAGCACACAGTGCTTCCAGTATATCCACTGCTCTTCCTCTAGAGTGACAGGAGAGCCTTGTTCCTGAGCTCAGGCTCTGCCTGTCAGGTAAATCCAACCCTTTTTGGTTTTTTGCCCATTGTGAAAGGGCCTGGACTCTTCACCGGTTGCTGCTGCCCTGTCAGGAGCTCATTGCAGAACCTGGGGTCCCTGAAAGACCTGTTCCTACATCCAAAGTTCTGGCTTCCTGAGCCAGAAATGATAATCACACCCATTTCCTGACCCCTGTACATCAGACCTATACTGGGTTCTGGATTGGGGGCCACTGCTGTTATCAAGTCCTGTCGATAAATGGGAGCAGAGTGGCCCCCCTCCCGTCCCCACTTGGATTCAGAGGGACCTTAAGCCATTGGGGGAAGGGGAGGAGGAGGAAGAGGGGGAGGGGAGTGGGGAGGGCTGTCAGAGTCCTTCCTTCCCAGAGAGTTGAGCTCCTTCCCTGGACTATAGCAAATGCAGTAACAAAGCCATTTGGGGTTTCTTTGATGACTTTCAAAATGCCTTTATCCTCTAATCCTCTGCATTTCGTCTGACTCAGAATGAAGTCATGCTGAGAATTCCCTTGGGACACTGGGGTGTCAGCCCTTCCTGAGTGAGGCCGAAGTATCCTGGGACTCTCAGTAGGGGGAGGGGCATGTGTGTGGGCACGTGTTCAGACGCCAGAGCTTTAGTAAAGCAGAGGCTGTGGGGTCTGCTGAGATAGAGGCTACGCTGAGGCAGGGTTCCCAAAACCTCCCCAGACCATCCCAGTCCCCTCCAGCCAGTGATGAAATACAGTGTTTGAAGGGCTAGAATCAGTATGGACAACCAGGTGCCATGCCCTAGGGTACCAGTGGGGGTGCCATGCCCACAGGTCTGGTGGTAAATATTTAATAATCAGCTCTCTGGGAGGGGGAAAAACAAATAAGACGCAATTTAAAGTTTAATCTGCATTATTGACATTCTTTCCCATCATTTTCTTAAGTCTAAACAATCAACAAAGAAATAAACCCAGCCCTAATCTGTAGCATTTCTGAGGCGTAAACGTGCACATTCAGAATTGCACAGTCAGCTCTCTAGTCTGAGTTGGCTCCCACACATTCCCTCTGTGGAGGGCAGGTCACCCAACTAACCTCACTCCTGGCTGGGCATGGTCGGGTTCCTGCAGCATCCCATGACCCTCCTGGAGCCCCATCCCGCTGCCTGGCTGTAAGAATGAGTCCCGGGAGCATCCAGGGCTTAGGGTGGGAGGGATCAAAGATGGGGGGAAAGCCAGGATGAGCTACCCTTCCTCTTCTTAAAAACTCATCGAACCTACAACTCTATAAACCCGGCTTAGATAAGGTGAGAATAATCCCTCCTCTACCTTCTGGTATATCTGGGCACTAAAGGGCTCCAGAAGATGTCTGTCGGTCACTATGCATTTATTTCAAGTTCACTGAGTGCCAGGCATGTGGTAAGTGCTAGCCTCCTCATTCTACAGATGAGGCTTGGAGAAGGGAACAGACTTACCCAGGGTCACCCGGCTAGGAAGGATCTCAGGATGGGCTTTGAACCGGCCCTCACCCGCCAAGTCTGGTGCCTTCTCCCCTTCCTTCCCCCCACCCCCCACCACTCCGCTAGGTGGTTTGGAGGAAGAAAAAAGCTTGGTCATCTCTTCCTGGCTGAATTAATCTGGCCTATGTTTCTCTTGTGCAAACCTACAGGAAAGGTGCTCCCTAGGGTGGGTGGGAGGAGCAGATGTGGGAGGGGCACGCACTCTCTTTTGCAGGTTGAGAATGGGTCAGAGGCTCTCCGACTCTAATTTTCTCTCCTCCTTTGTCATGACTTCAGTGAAATGCATCAGGAAGGTTTAGCAAACCAGAAAGGTTCCAAGTCGGGCCTGGTGATGAGGAGAAGGAATAGCCAATGAAAAATCCCAGAAGCCTTGCAGTTACCAAGGACCTCCTCTTCCTCCTCCTCTCCTCCTCCTCCTCCATCTTTAAAGATCTCCAGGGAAGGACATGCTGGATGCCCTTCTTAACTCATTCCCAGCATTACTGGCCTGATCAGCTGTGAGTTGGCTGCATGGCAATGCAAGAGTAGGAAAAGGAAGAGAGGGGGCCAAGGGAAAGGTCCAGAAAGGAGAGAAGGGGAGGGGAAGCTGGGACCCAAGGGGATCACTCCATTGTACCCAGATCCCAACAGCTGCCATCTGTGTGTTTCTGGGTCTCTCCTTTTTCTGCCGCTGTCTTATTCCTAATACCAACTGCTGTCCCTTTTTATACATTGGTCCCCCATGTCATCAACAACCTCAGCCCCTCTGATCTCCATCTTTAGTCCAACTCAATCATCATTGGCTGAGGTCGTGCTTTGAAGGGTGTACCCACCAGCCCCATGACCAAATTTGCTGTGATCACAAGGATTCCTCCTGACAGGTGTGGCTGACTT